CCTCCGGCTCACCCCACAGTCAGCTCACCCCGCATCCAGCTCACCCCACAGTCGGCTCACCCCACAGTCGGCTCACCCCATGTCCGGCTCACCCCGCGTCCGGTTCACCCCACAGTCGGCTCACCCCACAGTCGGCTCACCCCGCGTCCGGCTCACCCCACAGTTGACTCACCCCACAGTCGGCTTACCCCATGTCTGGTTCAACCCGCGTCACCCCACGTCCGACTCACACCACAGCTGCTCACCCCACGTCCGACTCACACCACAGCTGCTCACCCCACGTCCTGCTCACCCCGCGTCCGGCTCACCCCGTGTCCGGCTCACCCCGTGTCCAGTTCACCCCCCGTCCAGTTCACCCCACGTCCTGGCTCACCCCACATCCTGCTCACCCTGTGTCTAGTTCACCCCACGTCCAGTTCACCCCGCATCCAGCTCACCCCACATCCGGCTCACCCCACAGTCGGCTCACTCCATGTCTGGTTCAACCCACGTCACCCCACGTCCGACTCACACCACAGCTGCTCACCCCACATCCTGCTCACCCCGCGTCCGGCTCACCCCACATCCGGCTCACCCCGCGTCCGGCTCACCCCGCGTCCAGGCTCACCCCGCGTCCTGGTTCTCCCCGCGTCCTGGTTCTCCCCGCGTCCAGCTCACCTTGCATCCAGTTCTCCCTGTGTCCAGCTCACCCCCCTTCCAGTTTGCCGTGTCCAGTTCTCCCTGCATCCTGGATCACCGATGTCTAGCTCACCCCATGTCCTGGTGCACCCTACGTCCAGCTCGCCATGCGTCCAACTCACCCCGTACCCTCTGCACACCCCACTCACCTTGTGGCCCACACCAAGGTCACTGGTCTTCAAGTCCCTGGCTGGGGCATCAATGCCGGATGGGTCCCATACCTCAGTCTCCACACCTATCTCAGGATGATGCCCCCTTGGCCCTGCCTACACACTTCCACCATAGCCAGTGACCAGTGCTACCGCGTTGGACCCGTTGTACAGACATAACAATTGAGACTCAGGAAAAGACAGTGGAAGCAGCGCCTGGCTGGTCACAGCCACCACCAGCCGTGTGGCCTGGGCACCGTAATGCTGCTGGAGGGCCAGGCCGGGCAGGGCTGCCCACTGCGTGCCTGCTGTCTGGGCCCCCTGTTTTCCCCTCTTACTCTGGCTGTGGAACCCTGCCTCAGTTTACCCAGAGCCCACCACCCTGTAGACTTTCCCAGCTGCCCCTGTCCACAGCCACACACAGCAGGAAGTGGCTGGACCTTAGATGAGGGGTGTACCCTCTTGGTGCTTTGAAGTCTGAGGACACCCTCCCCCACCTGGGGGTCTCTGACCTCCACAGGGGAGACTAGACAGGAGGTGAGAGGGGGCCAAGACAGACACCCCTGTGCAGGCCTGGACTCCCCACCAGCCATGAGGTTCAGGCCTGATGGCTGGCCTCTCCCCGGATCTCCTGCCTGGGAAGGTGGCTCACTCTGCCCGTCCAAGTTCTGGGATGAGACTGCTAATACTTGCTCTGCTGTTAGCCTCCAACGACTTGACTGGAAATGACTGGAAGTTTGGTGCTAATTAGCTGCAGGCAGGAGGCTGTGGGGAGCAGGTTGGGAATAGGGGTCAGGTGGCCTGGCCATGAAGGGCGTGGAGGGCTTCCTGGAGGAGTAGACATTGGTGCTGGCCAAGGGGTCTGTTTGGGACGTCCTCGTCAGCCATTAACCCTTAGACAGAATTCCTGTCTGTCTCTCGCCCACTGAGTATTTGCACATTCAGGAGGGAGAACTTTGAATGGGGGCTGCCGTCCCCTCTCCAGGCGCCACCCAGGCATCTTGGAACCCAGGGGGGCCACACAGAGAGGCTGCCAGTGGGGAGGCTGAAGGAGGTGCTTCATCTGCTGGTATTGAGAGCCCCCCTCCAGTGACCAGGGTCCCCAAACCCTCCTCCAGGGCTCTCCTCACACCCTGCCAGCACTAAGACCTCAGAGTTCCTTTAGCAGCTGTGGCAGGAGAGGGGGGTGGCCAGCCCCCGAGGGCGAGGAGGCAGGTGGGGGTCGGACGGCAGAAGCCTTCTGTACAGCGGGGAGAAGTGGAAGGACCTATGTAAGGGCTCTGAGGTGGACACCGGTGTGGTGGAAGGGACACTGAGGGTGAGCCGGGGGGCAGCCTGGGCAGCGGGAAGTCTGGGAGAGTGGCAGGCAGGCCAGAGCGAGGCAGGCCAGGGGTGGTGGGCAGAATGTGGGGGTAGAGGGCACTGGGAGGGGGCAGGGCCTGGCGGGGTGCCACCTTCCCCATAACCCCTGGCACCACGGGGCCTGGGCTTTCTCCTGGGCGCAGAGGACGGGAGACCGAGGCTGCAGGAGAATTGTGGGCTCACAGGCCCTCCAGCCGGCGTATGGGTGTCTTTGGTGCTTGGTCTTCTCTTGGCCTCCCAGCACTGGCCTGGACCCAGGGGTGCCCAGTGGCCCTCACACTGGACATCAGCCTCTGGAGAGTGGTGGGGTCAGAGCAGCGCAGGGCAGCAGGGGTGGGTAGGCCAAGCCTGCCCTGTCAAGCCTGCCCCTGGCCTGGTCTGTTGCTCTCCTGTTCTGGCCTGTCCCTGCCCCTGTCCATCCTGTCCTCTCCCTGCCCCTGTCCATTCCATCCCTTGCTCGCTCCAGGGCCCACCCAGCTGTGTAGTGCCCCCAGACCGTGTACACACCAAGCTGCCCTGAACCCATAAAGTCCCTCACCACACAGAGGTCCCCCCTTTCCACACAGAGGGGGCCCAGGCTCGAGGCCGACCACCAGCCTCTGGTCCTGGCACTCAAGTCAGGCCGAGGCTACCTCCCTGCCCTGGGCGGGCTGTGGAGGGTGACCAGGGTACCCTCATCCTGGAGAATCCGTAAGGCTAGGCAAGGCCCCGAGGGGTACATTTTCTCCCCTCATGACTTTGGGGAAAACCGAAGCGTGGCTGAGCAGGGCCGCATTCCCAGGGACCCCGGAGCCCCAGCCCTGCCTGTGCACTGTCTGAAGGTGGTGGGGGACTGGGGCCAGTTACTCCCTCTGATTATGGGGACACACATGCTCCCCAACACACAGCCAGCTCTCCTGGCCTCTCTGCCCCTTTCTGGGCCTCGGTTTCCCCGACAGGTGCAGGGAGGAAGGCAGCAGGGGCAGCAGCCCTCAGATTGGCCTTTCATGTGCTAATGAGCCCCTCCAGGGCCCCCCTTGTGCCCCCCTCGGCCGGCAGCGTTTATGTGACGAGGACCCGGGAGACCCACGTCCAGAGATCTGAGAGCCCCTCCGAGTAGCTCCAGGCAGTGGTGGCAGGAGCGGCATCTCCCCGCTGCAGCTGACCTCCAAACTTGCCCAGGAGGCCGGGTCAGGGGCTCCCCCAGGAGGGGGGTGGGGCCTGTGATAGCTTGCAGCGGGGGATCACCTGTGGGCAGGGGTATGGCGGGGGGACACAGCAGTGGCCTGGGGGAGACACTTGAGGGCAGAGGACTGGGGGACTACACATGTGGGTGGTGGCTTGGGCTGTCAGGAGAGGCTGGGGGGACATACCTGTGCACAGAAGCCTGGGAGGGGGAGGAACCCCTGCAGCGGAGAACTGATGGGAGCGACCCCTGTGGACAGTGGCCTGGGGAGGCAGGAGGGGGAAGCCAGAGGTGAGGGTCTGTGGGATTCTGGAGGTTCAAGGCCTCAGCCCCCTGGGGAGACTTGGGGCTGGGGCTCAGCCCTCTGGAGGGACTTGGGGCTGGGGTTGGCTTTGAACCCCAGATCCCTCTGAACTGGTTTTGGATGGAGAAAGGGGAGCCCCTGTGTCTCTTTAACCTTGGGGCTGTGGTGGGCAGCAAGGCCGCTGTGACCACAAGCCTTGTGGGGAGACTGGGCACGTGTCAGAGGGCTCTCAGTCACGGGGGCACCTGCCCGCCCCCCGCTAGTGACTTGCTATGGCCCTGCGCTCTGACCAGGTGGTCCCGCCGTCCACTGCCCCATCTTCAGACTTTCATCTCCCCAACCTCTAGGCCACACCCACCTCAGCTTCCCTGCCCCCCAGGGTCCCCGCTCCAGGCCTCCACTGCTGACCCATGTCCCAAGTGTCCCACGCCCCGTGCCTTTTGCAGCACCTGGAAACCCCCACCCTGCCACTGACCGCTCCCTTGGTCCGCCGTCACATTGCTGACCAGTGACCACAGTTCCCCGCCCTGTTGCTGGTCCTCTTCACTGGCCCCCACTGTGTCACTGACCCCGCCCTACCATTGACCCACGTGCCTGGACCCCCCACAACTGACATTCCCCCACCCCCAGGCTTTAGCCCCCACCACTGACCTGTCCACCCTTAATCCTCAGGCCACCTGCCACTGGGAGACCCCCGTTACTCCCACCCTGTCATTGAATCAGTTGTTTTCCTACTGCTGACCCATCAGCCAGCACCCACCTCGTCCCCAGCACTGCCCCCCTCCTGCCCGCGCTTGGCCATTGGCTCACCCTGTCCACTGACCAGGGCCCTGACTGCTGCTCAGCCTGACCCCTGCGCCGTCCCCCCTCCCCGTGCCCCTGTGCACAGGCCCCCGCACTGACCCTTCCTCTCGGCAGGTTCCAGGCGGGCGCAGTGGATGGCGGCGGCGGCAGCTACACGGTGGAAGTGAGCATCAACGACTACCTGGACATCTACTGCCCGCACTATGGCGCCCCGCTGCCCCCGGCCGAGCGGATGGAGCACTATGTACTGTACATGGTCAACGGCGAGGGTCACGCCTCCTGCGACCATCGGCAGCGCGGCTTCAAACGCTGGGAATGCAACCGACCTGCGGCGCCCGGAGGCCCCCTCAAGTTCTCCGAGAAGTTCCAGCTCTTCACCCCTTTCTCCCTGGGCTTTGAGTTCCGTCCTGGTCATGAGTACTATTACATCTGTGAGTTGGGGACGGCTAGGGGGATGGGGACCAGGACATCTACGAGTGGGGACGGGGACCAGGATGTCTGTGAGTGGGGACGGCGAGGGGGACGGGGACCAGGACATCTGTGAGTGGGGATGGGGGGATGGGTACTCTGAGTGGGGATGGGGGACACAGGTACTCTTGTGAGTGGGGTTGGGGGACGCAGTTACCCCGTCTGCAACGAGAAGAGGCCGAGGTTAGCAGTTCCACTCCACCTGCACTGTCAGGGCCGGGATAAGGACGCTTGTTGACTGACCTTGTGTGCATAGTGGGCTGTGCTGTGAGTGGTTTTGGGGAGGCTGTGTTTGGGGGTGTCCTCAGATAACTCGTTGGTCTGTGTGTGGGACAAGGTTTTTCAGGGGCTGTGGGCCTGCGTGGAGGGAAGTGAAGTTGTGGTCATCACTAGATTTGGGTGGACATGGGGCCAGGGGAGACTTGGAGGATGTGGGCCTCGATGGTGGGCGGCCTTCAGAAGACACCAGAGTGCGACTTGTACTGGTGACCAGGGACAGGACTAGGGTGGCATCCCACGGGAAGAGGAACCTCTGGTGGCCCAGGGTCCATTGTGGGTCCATGGTAAAGCGCAGAGGCCCTGGGTGGGGATAGGATCAGGTCAGGGGGACAGTTAGAGGCACTGCAGTCCCATGGGCCAGAAGACCAGGCCAGAAGGGTGGGTCAGGGGCCCAGGGGCAGCAGGCCCTGATCTGGGCAGAGGTCAGCTTGGTCCCGTCCCCAGCAGAGCTGTCCTGTCACGTGATTCCTGGTCCCCTTTCTGGAGATCCCCCCAATCATGGGATCCCCGTGTCACCCTCCCAGTAAGCCTAGTGGTCAGACCGCCGTCATCTCCATTCTGCAGATGGGGGAGCTGAGGCTCAGAGCCGAGCAAGGAGACACACAGATGAGACGTGCACTCACACGTGGGCCTGGTGCTCCTGGGCGCATTGATGTGACTCCAGGTGACCATCTGGCCTCTGCCGACGGTGGGGTCCGACTTGAGGGTACACAACAGCTCAGCCGGAGTAGAGCCCACCTTGCCCCATGTGTTGTCTCCAGAACTTTCCACAAAGCCCCTCCGGAGCCAGGCCTCTCCACTTGGGGCAGCTGTGGCTTCACTGGGTTCTGGGTTTTTTTTTGAACACACGGGCCCCCACTGGCAGATCAGTGTGTCCCGGCCACAGGCACTGGGCTGTGCTGTCAGGAGTCCTTGGACATGATGATTGGGCCCCCAGTTCTCCAAGGCTTGAGGTCCCTGTGGGAGGCAGTGGGGGACCCCACCACATCAGACTTTACAAAGCTCCAGTTCCTTCTTCATGTTCTCTGTCTAGGCCTTCTCCTTTAATCCAGGGACAAGGCAGGCAGGAGAGCAGAGAAGGTGTTTAAATGAAGTCCCCATAATATAAGAAAAATGACGCTTTTCTCTCTGAGACGGGAGTTTCATAAAGATAATTATTGCCATTATTCGTTCTGTGTCTGTGACAAATGTTCTTTTATATTACGTGGTATTTACCTTCATCTCCCAGATGGAGGGGCTCCTGGGGGGCAGGCTGTGGTACAGGCTGTGGAGAGCCAGATGTGGGGGTCCTGGACCCCGGGGAGGACAGGCCAGATGCATCGGGGGGGTGCCACAGCTCCCCCCCTCCCCAGCATGTCCTCACCCTCTCCTCTCCTGGTTGTGGACACTGAGGGCCCCACTAGGCCCTGGAAGGAGGCGAGAAGAGGGGATTTCTGGGGAGTCTTGGGGTGATTTCCCTACAGGCACCTCAACAGTGGGGATTCGAACTGGGGACCCTCCTTCTGAGGCAGCGTTTGTCAACATCTGCTCTGTGCTGATTGAAAACAAGCAGGGGGGTCATCCTTCCTCACCAGGCCACCCTCTGTGGCCTGTCCTGGGGGTGATGGCACTGGGTCAGGACCCCCTGCATCTGGGGTCACACAGGGCATTGTCTGGGGCTCTGGTGTGCAGGTGGGGGTCTTCCCACGGCCCTCCAGCCGGAGGAGTCAGGGCTGGGTCCCCACGTGACCATGCTGGGGTGCAGCCCTGGGACTGCGTGTTCTTTGCCCTGCCCTGCTGACCCTCCCCCTGTCTTCCAGCGGCCACACCCCCGAATGCCGTGGACCGGCCCTGCCTGAGGCTGAAGGTGTATGTGAGACCAACCAGTAAGTGACCGGGTCCTGGGCCGCCCTCGGGTCCTGGGCCCACAGTGACAGTTGCGGGGCCTGGAGGTCCAGCCTCACATCAGGGCAGCGCCCACAGCACTGGCTTCAGTTTCCCCATATGCAAATTGTGCTGCCTTCCAGACCCTAGTGAACGGTGGCCAGACTTCCATGGAGACTTCAGACTTCCGCTGAAGCCATCCCTGGTCCAGCCAGCGAGCCAGGGCAGAGGGCGTTAAGGAAGTCCCCCACCACAGGGCCAGCACAAGTGTGGCCCAGTCCTCAGCCTTCGCAGTGTGCTGGCCATGTGGGGCCCATGGGTGCGGTCCAGGGCACCCCCTGCACAGAGGGACGTGCTGAGGGCCTGCCCATCCCTGACCCCCGTCTCCCTGTCCCTCACCCCGTCTCCCTGTCCCTCACCCTGTCTCCCTGCCCCTCACACCGTCTCCCCGTCCCTCACCCCCGTCTCCCTGCCCCTCACCCCATGTCCCTGCCCCCCACCTCGTGTCCCTGCAGACGAGAGCTTGTACGAGGCTCCTGAACCCATCTTCACCAGCAACAACTCCTGCAGCGGCCTGGGCAGCTGCCGCCTCTTCCTCAGCACCGTGCCCGTGCTCTGGACCCTGCTGGGCTCCTAGTGCCGCCCATCGCCCAGCTGGATCCGACCCGCCTGGCTGCGGCCCCCTCCGAGACCCAGCAGGGATGTGGCTTCTCTTCTGGTGCTGCCCCGCCGCGGGGACTGTCCCTCAAAGCAGTCCGTGCGGGCGGCTGGCCTGAGGCGATGCAGGGGCACCCGGGGTCTCCTCGGGGGGGCCTGGACCTCGCCAGGCAGCGGCTGTTCGTGTTTTTGTCGTGGTGCAGTGGAGAGACTGAAGCTTTTAATTTATTTTAATCCTGGCCATCCGGTGACCCCAGAGGGAAGCCTTCGAGTGGGGGTTTCCAGCCGCTGCCAGAGGGAAACTCGGGGCCCCCTGGTTAGGACCCTTCCCTCAGCTCACACCCCACGTCCTGGGACCTGGCTGTAGCCCCACCCGGTGGCCCAGGACTTGCTGCCTGAATGGCCCCTGGCTGCTGTCTCTCAAGTGGGAAGGCCGACAAGTCACCGTGAAGGCCCAATGCCTGGGATCACCGCGGTCACCTCGGAATCGCACAGGGACAAGCAGCGGCCCGCGCCAAGGCGAGAGACGTTCTGTTTCTGTAAATAAGCCAGCAAGTATATACTGTGATTATTTTTAACGTATTGCAAGGATGGACTTCCACGGTCTATTTTATTTCCTTTGTCCCCTGGCCCCATCCTCGGGATTTTAAGCTGGGGGACCTTTTAGAGTTGCAGCCAGACTTTGCAATAATCTCCCTCCGGCTGTCAGAGCCCCCTGCCCCTCGAATCTCCCATGAAGGGTGTTTGTAAGAAAAGGACCAGAGAAAAGGGAGGGGAAACACCACCAAAAAGAGCAGCCCTGAAATGCTTGACGAGCACACACCTCATTTATACAGATTTCCTATTTATACCCGCCTCTCCTGCCCTGTGTTTTATATCCGTGATATACAGATATATATTGTGTACGGCCGAGGGCCGGGCGGGTGGCGGGCGGCGGGCCCTGTGGGGACAGCCGTGTCACCACGCCTGGAGCTGGTGGCCGGGCTCCCCTCCCCACCACAATCAACTTTGGATCCTGTATTTTTTTATAATAAAATGATGGTAAATCTGCAGATGTGTCTGTGTGAAGGCAAGACGACATTCGGTGTGGGCGGCGTGGACTTGGGCAGCATCGAGGTGGGCAGTGGGGTGTCTGGGGGGGTTGCTGGGACCAGGGAATAGATTGAGAGGGACCGTAGGGATGGGCCGTGGGCAGCAGAAATGGAGGGGTGCATGGACAGAGCAGGGCTGGCTTCTGTGCATGGAGGTACTGAGCGATTCTCGAAGACGCTGTGAACATAGGGACAGCCACTCCTGACCACAGACCCCGTGTACATAGGAGACACCCTCTTCTGATCACAACCCCATGTACACAGGGGACACTTGGGCCTGATCACAGACCCACTGGACAGTAGGACAAGCTGACGACAGTCCCCCCTTGTGACAGCAGTGTGTAGCCACACGCCTGCCCTGTTGCCCCCCCATTGCCCGACTCTCACACACACAGGTGTATGACACCTGAGATACATGTGTAATTGGTTCCTGGCTTTGCAGTGTTTGAGCCTGGGGCCTAAGCACACATCTGAAGGCACATGGCTGTGGTCTCCCCTTCATGGAGATGGGGAGACCTCCATGCTCCACCCTGGCTGGGGAAGACGCCCTGGCACTGGGCTCCTCAAGGAGAGTGCTGGTGTTTGCTCAGTGCCCACCACTCCTGCGGCCGACCCCAGGTCTGTGCTCCGGTCTCTGGTCTGGACAGTGTCCTGTGACTTCGTCCCTCCCGTCCCGGCCAGTGGATGTCCTGTTCCCCGTTTGCTACATTTTTCAAAAGGACTCTGCGTTCTGGGTGCCACCCCTCACCCCTCAACCAGTCCCAGCTTGGGAAAACTGAGGCACAGAGAGGCTGGGCCTCCCTGCACAGCTGGTCCGTTTGGGTTGCCTGAACCACTGCCACCCACCCCTGGTGACAGCCGGTTCTGGCAACAAATGGCGAGAGGGAGCTGTGGCCGCTAGTGGATCTGGTAGGGCCTGCTCTGCCGAGGAAAGCTGCTTCCTGATGGCTGCAGACCGCACAAAGACGCCTGTGTGTGCCGGCCACCCCTGCCTAAGGTGGACAGACAGATATACGAGGGACCTCATGCTGAACACCAGGACGGAGCCGATGAGGTGACCTCTCGGGGTCCGAGCTGGAAGTCCTGGGGTCCACTCCCCCCGAGGCCCTCCTCCCCCAGCTAGGCCACAGGATCCCAGCCCCTGAGCTGGGCTTTGCTGTTTTTGGAAATCGTGTCTTTTAAAAAAACCCTGTAAAGGCAACAGTTGCTTCCGCGTCTATCCTGACTCTGGCAACACCACGGGAGCACAGCACTGAGCATCGCGTGGTCTCCAGTGGCCAGCTTTCCAGAAGCAAATCACCAGGCCTTTCCAAGAGCCCCGGGCTGGACACGAACCCCCAGCCCTCCAGCCTGTCTGTGGTGTGCACGTGTGGGACATATGTACAAGTACATGGAAGCGACAGTGTGAGGCGTTTCGGCCACCTGCATGTGTGTTGTTAAGCCAATGTCTTAAAAACAATCCGAACTCACTGCTGTCTAACAGATTTGCGAGTCCTATTGGTCCCGCCTCGGGCTTGCCAGGCTGTGAACCGTCACAGGAGATGACTGTTCTCTTCCTCAGAGCAGCTGCAGGGTTCGAACCATCAACCTTTCCTCTGGCAGCCCGACCCATTACACAGTAATTATGTTCATTATGTTCAGCCCCACCCTTCCCGGCTCCCAAAGTCCACACAAGTCTGGAGTTCCTAGACTTGATTTTTTAATGATTATCTTCAATCTTATAGAAGCCATTATGTAATACCTTAGATGATGTGGAAGAAAGCATTGTATATGTCCCAGACTTCAGTGTAAAATCATATTTATTGAGAGATGATTAATGAACCACATAATTTACCCATTTAAAGTCAGTTCTGCAAAACAGCTATAAGATCATCTCACCCCAGCAACAATAGCAAAGTTCAACAGGCCAGCAAACAACAAACATTGGCGAGGTTGTGGAGAGATTAGAACTCTTATTCACTGCTGGTGGGAGTGTAAAATGGTACAGCCACTATGGAAGGGGGTGTGGCTTTCTTAAAAAGTTGGAAATACCATTGGACCCAGCAGTGCCACTACTGGGAACACACCCTAAAGAAACCAGAGCCACGATTGGAACAGATGTATGCACACCCACGTTTATTGCTGGGTTATTTACAAAGAGATGGGAGCAGCCGGAGTGCCCATCAGTAAAAGAATGGACAGGAAAACTATGGTACAGTCACACAATGGAATACTACGCAGCACTGAAAAACAATGCTCTTGTGAAACACTATGCAACATGGATGAGCCTGGAAGACATTATGATAAGTGAAGTATCTTAGTCACAGAAGGACAAATACTGCATAACAGCACTGTTCTAAATCAGGACAGACCTGAGAGGCGTTCGGGAGGGACTGGGAGAGAGTGGATAGATAATGAACACTACGTTAGGACAGATGAGGGAAGAAGGGTCTGAAAGGAATATGTGACTAGGTGTTATAGGTAGAGAACAATCTGGAACAAGGGGTGCATTGTGGAGAGGACTGGAGGAGCTGAAGGGGAGGAGGGGGAAGAAAATGTGCAACAATGAAAAATACATCGATAAAATGGTGGTTCTGTGTTCTGTCGAGTCGGAGCTGACCCATGGCTGACCCTCTGCCTGGTGTAAGAGACAGTTAATTGCTTGGGAGGACATTGCCCATCTTTCTCCAGCGGAAGAGCTGGTGACCTCAAACCATGTGCCTTTGGGATTGCAGTGCAGCTTCTAGCCACTAGGCCACTAAAGCTCCCTAAATAAAATGGTAGCCCCCCCCAAAAAAAAGTCAGCTCTAGGTTTTTTAGCGTGCTCCTGTCAAGTCAGCAGCTCACAGAAGCAGCATCCTCCAGTCATCTGCTCCTGGGATCTGCTGGAGCCGGACCCTTACTAGGCGTGTGTGCTCTGTGGGCAGGGGCTCCCGGGCGGCTTGTCTGTGACCCAGGCACTGTGAGCTGGGGCTCCCCTCCCACGGAGTGTCTGTGACCCAGACACTGTGAGCTGGGGCTCCTGGGCAGGGTGTCTGTGAC